CATAATTCATAAATTACAAATTCACAAAAACTTTAAAAAAAAAAGAAAAAAAGAAGAAGAAAAACAGAGAATGAAACTTGAAACCGAACGAAAACCGTTCACCGACAAAACTAAAGGGCAAAGGCGCTCACTGTTCACCGAGTCAGGTGTCCACCGCCTTCCATTGGTCTCGTCGATCGGCGACGTCACAGACAGCAGGTCCGCAGCGTATTCTTTTCTGATTGTCACTTTAGTCTTTTTCTTCTTATGTCGGTTTTCAATTTTGGAATTGGTTTTGTAGCTAATGGGTTGCAATTGCAAGCAAAACCCATATATCCATCATCCATGGACTGATGGACGGTGGACCAATAACCATGGTCAAGTGACTTCTCCGGTCCAACCACCATGGATTGGGCCCATTCATTGGGCCTTTTTTTTAAAAAAAAGGCCCAAACAATAAAAAAGGAAAAAAAATTTCAAGCCCACTGGCCCAGCCACCCAATCTTGGCAATGGGCGTCTTCTTCATTTCTTCCCAGTGGACGGCAACTAACCTGAAGCTCTCGACGAATACAGCACGGGCGATTGTGGGGGTTGGCCGGCCAGGTACTACGTTCGCCCCTGCTGGAACACACATATACTATTCATTTATTCATCGATCGTTTCTATCTATTTATATATGTGATTCTTCTCTAAGCTTATGCTTTTTAACGAGATAATTGACGTGGTATCATAGTCGGCTCACAAAAGACTTTAGTCCAAATTTTGATGAATTCCATTTCTGAAAATTGTACACGTAATTTGGATTAAAAAAAAAATTGAATCCATTCAGCAAGGAATATTGTATAAAAAAAGAAACTTACATAAATACATGCCTTTCTAATTGCTCAAGTTTTTAATAAGATATTTACTGCACACTAATATTCAGCCCATGATTGATGTAGATTAAAAATTGATAAAATTTTCAAGTCAAAGTCGGCAATTAATTATCTTAACCACGCATATAGGATTCACAACTTTTGAAAATCCATTTTATCAACTTTTTAAAAAATCTAAGAAAAGTCTAATTTTGATCTACACCAGACATGGGCTCAATATTGATTTCCGAATTCTTTGTTTTATTCTTGCATGAAAGAATCATGAGCAATTTTCAGTACAAATTGTGCATTTTCAAGTCTAAACTATTCGATGGATGGACCTAAAATTGGTTGAAGGAATCCACTAATGATTGGGGAGGCAAAGAAACATACAAAACCCTAGCTAGTACTCTATGCTCATTAATGCTCAACTTTCTTTATTTTTTTCCGTGCACATTAGTTTAATAATCATGGCTAGGCGTTGTCCCTCTTATCGCCATTAGGTCAAAAAATAGATAAATAAATTCTCAAGGTGCCGGTTTGATGGTGAACAAATGCAACAAAAACAATTATAAAATCATTGGTACCCAGATTGTAATCACATGCAAAATCAATTCCATCGAAAAATTGTGTCACTATAAATAGATTTACCAAATTTACCACAAACATAAACATAAACCAACTTTTGGCCTTAAGCAAAAACAAGCAAGAAAAATGGCAATTTCATCTGCACAAAATCATTTTAGATCTATTAGTTTGCCTTCAAGATTACATCCCAATGCCACAAAATTTGAAGCTGAGCAGCAGAAACTCAAAACCCGAGAAATTTCGAAAAAAGCTGACTGTATAACCTCAGAAGATATTCAATCTGGGCTTCTATGGCTTACAGAATTATACAACTGTGTTGAAGAGTTGATGCAGTCTCCAAGCACTCAACAATCACTTTTTCAACATGATCAAGATGGAAAAATGGTGGAAGAATCGCTCGAAAACTCAGTCGAGTTGCTGGATTCCTGTGGCACCATAAGAGAATTGGTTTTCACGATCAAGGAACAAGTTCAAGATCTTCAATCTGCATTAAGGCGCAAGGGTCAAGATTCCAGCATCCAAAGTGATATGAACAAGTACTTTTCCTTCAGAAAGAAAATGAACAAATCCATAGCCAAAAGTCTCAAAAAACTCAAGCACATGGAGAGCAAAAATGGAGCAACACTTACAGATAATCACAGTCTATCAATGGCCATCCGGATGTTAAGAGAAGCAACAAATCACGCGATATCCATTTTTCGAAGTCTTCTGGTATTCTTGTCTTCGCCTGCAGCTTCAATGGGAGGATGGTATTTTGTTTTTAAGCTAAAATCTGTGGCTTCTCACAGAAATGATGAAATTCTAAGCGAAGTGGGAAGTGTAGATTTTGCTCTTAATTCCCTTAATGCTCGAATTAGAAACAATGATTCCAAGGCTGTTGATGTGCAGATGGCATGCAAAAAATTACAAAAACTTGATGCCAGTATTGAAGGTTTTGAGGCTGAATTAGAGAGATTGTTCAGGCAATTGTTGCAAAGTAGAGTCACACTTCTAAACATCCTTACTGACCATTGAGAAAGAAAATCTTTGTAGAAATTGGTTTTTGAACCAAATTTTTGTCATGTATATGTATAGATTAATTAAATACATATATTCACGAATTTATTTTCCATTTTTGCATTCATATACTTTTTAAATCATTCTCAATTTCCCCACCCCTTGAAGTACTAGAAAATGAAATAGAACCCTCATCACGAATATAAAAAAATTTATCATAGAACTGTTCCGTTGCAATGCTGTCACTAATTAAATTACCGGAAGAAACTTCGACAGATTTATTCAAATCCGTGATGTAGTTTAGTGGCGATTGTGGAACTTTTTTTTCGAGCAAATTCAGTAATTAATTAATTTATCATAAAAAGATCGTTCCTCAGAATAGTGGTAAAATTTTATGANTCAGAATAGTGGTAAAATTTTATGAGGGATTCTTCGCATCGCAAATTTTGTCAGAATAAAAAAAATATATGTCTATGTATTTTTCACATACAATCCATTAGTTTTACTCGATTTTCTGGATAATAAATGGTAAATTATAAAAACCCCCATTGATTATTTAATGTGGTGCAAGTTATGCTGGAAAAAACTGGAAATAAACTGAGTCGTGGGTTGACTTTAGCTAATTTTGAGTGGGACCCGCTTAACTATTTTGGAAGATGAAAGTTGATTTGTGTTCTCCTCCGTGAATATATCGAAATCATATACTTGTCAANTGTCGGACCGAAAGGAGCAAAATTGGCCCCTTAGGAGTGTCCACATTTTGTTGATTTTCAACAGACTTTCGGTTTTCCAAAACTCCTGAAACTCCTATTTTAATTGCTATGAAATGAATGGGCAACCAATCTTTATATATGTCCCGTTTTTCCACAGTTCAGTACAAGAATTTTCATCTGCAAATTCATCTGCATACAATTTCTCTTTTCCTGCATTTTCTATTTCTATGGTGATATTTTCTAGACACTTGTTCATTTCGTCGGAGTAGAATCTGTTGTACTCGAATTTTATGGATTTCTCCGTTATATCTTGAGAGACAGACGCTCGTATCATACCTCAAACACATACAGTGAGGAGGCGAATCTGTTTTAAAGAAACTGTATGTAACACAAGCTTCGGGTTAAAAGTTTTTCTTTAACAGTTTCTTTTAATAACTTATTATCGATCGTTTTGCATATTACTGTTTTGCAATTATCTTTTAATTGTTGACTGCAATTACTGGTTATATAATTTAATCTGTTCTAATATGCAAATACGGTAACTGTTGTAAATACCGTGTTTAAGATATTTTGCATCAAGTTATAAATTGTAAATCTGGTATTTAGTGTGTAAATCCAGTATCCAAAAATTGAAACAACTATCTTACAAGGTTAAAACAGATTCTTTTGATAAGTTTCATTTGATTTCTTGAAAATT